AAAAAAAAAAAAAAAAAAAAAAAAAAAAAAAAAAAAAAAAAAAAAAAAAAAAAAAAAAAAAACCCGAAAAAAATCTATGTTATGCAGAAAAAAAACTGAACAACGTTTGCCTCAGAGTCACGTTTAAAATCTTTACCAAGTTGAAAATAAAAAATAAAATAAAGAAGTTTTTTAACTTTTTTTACTTTTTTTTTTCTTTTTTTCTTTTTTCTTTTCTGGCCCATCCTGGCAAGTGGTCCCGGCCCACTCTGGTAGCCTAGGAGTTCACTCATTGTGTTTTGCAGCCGAAGCGGTTAATGGCCCCAGTACCTTAAAGTTTTCTGTACAAATTGCATATGGGACTCTGGGCCCGGTTCCCAGCACGTGCTGCTCTGCACAAATAAATTGGAGTCTTGTCCCTTGTTAAACCACCACCACCTTTTCCCATGTGGGCCGCCGTCGGGCCCCCGATTCTTTAGGAGGCCAAAACGAAGCAACAGCCGTCGATGAGATTCATCAACAGCGGGCGTCGCCAGGCCCAGCATCCAGTTTGTTAGGAGCAGGCTATTTTCCCATTTCCCCAACAGCGGGAAGGGTAATGGAGCTTAAAAATTAAAAATAAAAAACGAGCGCACTCAGTACCAGAGTCAGTAGTGCAGACTCAGTAGTGCAGGTGTGCTCCATTTATAGGCAGAAAGAATTCAAAGGATGTGTTTTAGGCATTTCTGGACCAACACAGCCCATTGGGGGAAAACCCTGCCTAAGGTAAGGTTTGTGAAACGCCAGCTTCTCTTGATCCTTTTTCCTTTTTTTTCCCTCTTTTTTTTTTCCCTCTTTTTTTTTCCCTCCTTTTTTTTCCTTCTGTTTTTCCCTCTTTTTTTTAATCCTCTTTATCACTTTATTGAGCTTCTACGGTTCTATGGTCGTGAGGTTCATAACCGCCTTCCCATTCGGGTTCTAGAAACATTTTAGTTAATGCCTGCTTAGCTCGATCCACAAGAAAACCGTAGCGCAAGAAAACCCTCTGATGGGGCAATGCCACAACATGCAAAAAAATGGGGGAATGTGTAGAAAGATCTGGGGGGCTCTATTATTTTGTACACATGTGGACTTGAACTCATGACCTGTTTGGCAACATCTGCATGCCAATCTGCAAAGAGAAAGGTAAAAACGAAACGAACTTACCACATAGAATTCCCTCGTTCCACCGGTATTAGTCCTTTTCTACCATCTCAGGATTCAAACTCATGCCCTGTTTATCAGCAGTTACATGTGTGTAGTAGTGTACCATTTTGTGGTTCGAACTTGAAGTGCCACTCCTTAAACCATAGACTGTCGCCAGAGATTAGGGATTACTAGTACTAGTACTACTGCTACTACTCACTCTGGTACTCCTCCTCCTCCTCCTCCTCCTCCTCCTCCTCCTCCTCCTCCTGCTATTGCCACTGCTATTCTCACTCCTCCTTCTCCAAGCATAGACTGTCACCAGAGATTAGGGATTACGACTACTACTACTACTCACTCTCCTTCTCCTACTGCTCCTGCTATAGCCACTGCTACTATTACTCCTCCTCCTCCTGCTATTGCCACTGCTATTCTCACGCCTCCTCCAACCATAGACTGTCACCAGAGATTAGGGATTACTACTACTACTGCGGCTGCTACTACTACTACTACTACTACTACTACTACCACTACTACTACCACTACTACTACTACTACTACTACTACTACTACTACTACGACTACTACTACTACCACTACTACTACTACTACTACTACTACTACTACTACTACTACTGCTACTACTACTACTACTACTACTCACTCTCCTTCTCCTACTGCTCCTGCTCCTGTTCCTGCTCCTGCTATTGCCACTGCCATTCGCCTTCCTCCTCCTCATGCTGCTGCTCCTGCTCTTGCTCCTGCTACAATTTGGGAGTTTTTGTAGTTTTGAGAGTTTGGGGAGTTTGTTAACTGATGGAGATTGCAATTTGAGCTTGGGTAGGGTTATGATCTTGCAGGTTGTGATTTCAGGTCTGAATGGCCATGTTGGTTGTTACTACACGAAGCATTACTTCGGAGTCCGGACACAATGAGACTGACGTCAGGTCGGTTCTGTTTTTTTTTCCTTATCTGTTTGCGTTGCTGCCCTCGGGCTCTGCATATACGATTGGATTTGATCACTCGGCACTGGCTCGAAAATGACAGTTGATAATTATCGTCGGGATGGGACCTATTGTTTCTCTCAAGTACTTCAAGCTTTATTACCGAGCGAGCACAATTGCGGCGATTCAGCATCTGGAGAGGTCAGCAGAAAGAGGAGGAGGTGGGGGAGGAGGTGCGGGGCCACGCGCAGGAGGCAGCGCAGGAGGGATTAGCAGTCTTTGCAGTGGTTGCTGGTCAGCTATATGCTGCTGCTGCTGTCCTTTCTCAGCCCTGCTCTCCTTGGTTTGGGGATCTGATGGCGGAGGAGACCTTGATGGTGTCACAGGAGGAAGAGGAAGCCGCACCATGCGACATGGAGAGGGTTTCTCCCATAGCTTACCCTTACTGAGCAGGACTTCTAGTTTATCTTCCATATCGGAACCGCTACTTCAAGAAGGAATGCGATCTACCGATGAGGAATTAGCGCCGCGGACATTGGTAACGACAACGACGGGTAATTCGCTACGTGGAGGTGGCCGCGCACCTCCCCCTTCCATACAGTCTTGGAATGAAAACTATGCCAGGAGTAAGAATCAGTAGAGAGAGAGAGAGAGAGAGAGAGAGAGAGAGAGAGAGAGAGAGAGAGAGAGAGAGAGAGAGAGAGAGAGNGGGGGGGGGGGGGGGGGGGGGGGGGGGGGGGGGGGCGCGGGCGGTGAGAGGGGCAAGGGGGGCATTGTAATGGTTATAGTGAGAGAAGGGATGGCATTGTAATGGTTATAGTGAGAGAAGGGATTTGTTTCTTTCTTTCGAATTTGTTAAATTTGTTTGTTTTCTGCGTTGTGAAATGTGTATCTTTGGCGTCTTTGGGAAACCCAAAGAAAGTGAAAAGTTATGCTTGTTTAAATTTCTTATATTGTTTTTTCGTCGCTCTTCTAGGGGGAAAGGAAGGGGGACGATACAAAGGGCAAGGAGGATGATTTTTCTTTTTTCGTTGTTGTTAGGAAAAATGGGACGTTAAGGTCATGGCTCCGTTCTATTCTAGGGAGCAAGCCCTGGGCAAGGAGATTTTCTAACACTTCTCCAAGGGATATTTGCTTGTGGTTTCTAAGCAATTTCTTAGGGTTTTCTTGTACGAGCTCTTGGAGAATCGGCTTCAGTTATCTGTGGTACACAAATATTTGTTTCCTTTCCGAGGCAGAAGTACAAATGCTGAAGCCAGGCTTGTACTCTGATTGGAGCCATCGCATCACTCAGAGATGGTTTTGAAGAGGACAGTATACCCTTGTCTGTTGTTCTCCCGTACACAAAAGCAACAGACGTGCATACATCGACCAACAGACGTGCATACATCGACCAACAGACGTGCATACATCGACCTCTATCTTTCACCAATCCTACCAACACCACAGGACCCTGGCCCGAAGGCATTAGGCCACAAGACCACAAAAGGAAAGCAAAAGACAATCACAACTAGGAAAAAACGACATAAGACAATCGACAAGGCACAGACCAACGTGCAACAACGAAATGTTGGAGGGCAAGGGGGAGGCGGGTGGGCAGGCAAACAGCACAAAACAACAAAGCACACTGGGTGAAAGGCATGGGGTAGACAGATGGGCAAGCAAACAGTGTAAGCCAGCGAGGGAAACAACAGCAATACAAACGTCAACAATGCAAAAACAACACCCAAAAAAAATACAAGTATATACAAAGCAAAGACTGAAAAAAATACAAGTATAAACAAAGTAAAGACTGAAAAAAATAAAACTGATGATAAATTGTTTCATCGGAGTTGCACCGACTCATCAGGAGGCTGAACCCTCGACAATCTGCGGAATCTCCGTATTTGATGGTTTGGGTCATGAACCCTATGACCAGACTGTCCCCAAGCGGAACATAGCAGCGGGCAGCAACCCTGTGGAGCACCAGGCAACATAGTAGAGGCAACACAGCCACACAACGCCAAAAACGACTGCAAGGAACGACGTGGCATGCAGGGCATGCAGTGTGGCAACCGTGTAGTGAAGCACAAGACAACACAAGCAAGGCCACAGCAGTGCAGGGGACGACAGGGCGAGTGGACCAGCAGCTCGGCTACCGTGGAGCGGAGCACAAGGCACCAGCAACAAGGCAACCAACCTACAGGGCACACAAGCAGCAAACACGGAAGGCACGGCCAGCGGATGAGCAGCACGGCAGCGAAGCGCAAGGCAACACCAACAACACGGCCATACCGCAAAGTGAACACATCAACCTGCAAAGAACCACATGAGAAACAAGCGGGACAGGCAGCAGGGCAGCGGCGGAGCGCAGACGAGGACGTCTACACATCCAACACGGAGCAAAGCAGCACATGACCTACTCACATCACGATTGAACCCCGCAGACTGTTGGTTCCCACCATCCACTGAGGCAGGGAGTCACTCCAACGAACATCCGTCATCACCGACAGGCAACACAGACATCCCGAACCGAGCGGCCCCCATAAGAGTGCAGTGGGCACTCCAAACGAGGAACCACCGACTGTTTGGCACTACTTAAGGGTGCTCAGTTGGGCACACAAAAAAAATACTTAGAAAATATCAGGGGGAGGACAGACAACACATGAAAGACTGACAGACATAAAACTGATTATGTGTGTGTGTGTGTGGGATGTTGTGCAGTACGTACGCCATTTCGCGCTAGAATTGCGTCATGGCTGAGTTCTGGCATTGATGCCGACACATTAGGGAATCCTGGCAGGGATGGTGAAGTCTCTTGACGATGAAACGTGTTATCTGGTGCAGCCAAGGCGTTTGTGAGTGCATCGAAGCCATGTGAATGGAATGGTTGCCATGCACCGTGAGCAAAGAGTATGATGAGTAGGCTGGAGGGCATTGGGGAGGTGGGAGGGCAGACAATACATAAGCATGCAGGGTAGGGAAGGACAACGGCTGGAGGGCACGAGGGAGGTTGGAGGGCCGACGTCATAAAGAACACCAAACAGGCAAACCAGAAAAAAATACCAAGTCCCAACAACATCGAAAGACCAAAAAAAAACAAATGCTGATGATAGATTGTTTCGTCGGAGTTGCATCGACTCATCAGGAGGCTGAACCCTCGACAATCTGAGGAATCTCAGTATTTGATGGTTTGGGTCATGAACCCTCTGACCCATGCTGAAGGCAGAGTGTCCCCAAGCGGAACATAGCAGCGGGCAGCAACTCTGCGAATTACCAGGCAATGCAGTAGAGGCAACATGGCTGCACATCGCCAAAAACGACTGCAAGGAACAACAGGGAAAGCGGACGAGCAGCATGGCAACAGTGCAACGAAGCACAAAGCAACACCAACACCGCAGCCAGACTACATGGCACACAAGCAAGGCGCGCGGACGGCAAGGCAAGCTGATGAGCAGCAAGGCAGCAGCGCAGCGAAGCACAGGGTAACACAAACACAGCAGCCACACCACACAGTGAACACAGCAGCTTGCCAAGGGTGCCTCACACAGCAAGCAGCACGGGCAGCAAGGCAACGGCAGAGCCCGGATGAGGCAGTCTACACATCCAACACGGAGCAAAGCAGCACATGACCTACTCACATCACAGGCGAACCCCGCAGACTGTTGGTTCCCACCACCCACTGAGCCAGTAAGTCGCTCCGACGGACATCTGTCCTCACCCATAGACCATATGCACCACACACACATCACGAACAGAGTGGCTCCCCTAAGAGTCCTGCAGACACTCCAAACATCGGAGCACCTACTGTTTATCACATCTTGAGGGTGCTCACTCTGTGAGGAATTCTGATGTGACCCTCAGCCAATTTTTTTCAGCCTGGGACGATGGGTTGACAACTTGACAGGGTTGTATTTGAATTAGGTACAGTATGTTTGTCTGTCGTTTGTTCGGGTCTCCTAGAGCCCGGGACCTATTGGTGTGGTTTTGATTTTGGCTCTGAGTAGATAGTAGTTCGGGTGTACCGCTCTGAAGAAAAGCTGTCTGTTCCAGGTGTCGTGCCCTCGGGCCTAGGGGCGATATTTCTTTGCTTGGTCCCCTCGAGCCCGGGACCTACGGTGTGGTTTGGAGTTTGGCTCTGAATAGGGCGGTCCCTGTAGTTGTTAGCTTTGTTGACCAGGTATATTTAGAATGGTCGAGTGGTGATAATCCTCTCTGTGCGCTATCGGTCCCAATAGCGTGGGTTTGTCGGACGCGTACGGTGGTTTACTGTGTGTTGTGGAAGGAGGAGCTTGTTGTGCTTAAACATGTTATCAATCATTCTAGCATTCTTTACACCTGTGTGTACTATCGTGCCAATTGATGTCTATCCGTTTTTGTCATGATGTTGCCTAATGCTTTTGCATATTACCTGCTGCGGCGCGTGTGAACCTGCCCGGGTTAATTGTCTGGGAGTGAGTGAGCACGTTTTGGTACTAAGTTACCTTGTTGAGTTTCTGAGACTTGGAAGACTCGTTATCGTCTCGAAACTGATGGCATCAACTTGGATGCTTTGATGTGGTGACTGTGACACGGGAGTGAGTTGGAGATACTGACTGGGTCGGGTCCTCGCAGCATGAGTAGTGGTGAACGTGGATATGACAGGAATGACCGACATGATCGGCCTTACGATGGCGGACGGCGCGGACGAGCGGAGACAAGTCGTGATGAACCATGTGATGCAGATCGCTACCACCGGTATTACGGCCAGGGGATGACGGTTAATGAACCGCCGAGACGGCAGTCTCCGATATGTTACGGGTGTAAAGTTCCCGGGCACTATCGGAGTGACTGCTGGAGGATCTGGGCTGACCCAACGTCGAGAAGGCAAGCTGAGGCCGACGGGTATATCTGCCCTGCGGAATTGTACTGCCGGGGACGGTCTGTTTCACCAAGAAGAGCGAATGCGGCCACCATCCAGCGCTCACCATCAATCGACTCTAAGACTTCTTCGAAGCTTGAGGAGTTAGGTCAGAGTGTTGCTACCCTGCGGGAGTTTGTGGATTTGGAGATGGCTCAACGTAACGAAAAGGAGAAGAAACGACGTGAGCGGGAGGAAGCAAGTGTTCGTGAAGAGGAGGAGCGCAGAGCCGAAGCAGCTAAGGCGGCTAGGAAAGCTGAGAAACTTAGGAAGCGGGAAGAGGAGCAGCTGGAAATGGCTAAGGCGGTGGAGATGCAACTGACGCTTCGTCTCAGCAGCATCTGGGATGATATTCGGAATGAGATCAGGAGAGCTGTTGGCGAAACTGTGAAAGGTAAAGCCAAGTTAGTCGAAGAGAGGCCATCTACCTCCGGATCGGGAGCGGGTGACAACGAAGTCGAAGTGATTACTGAAGGGACCGAGCGACTGGCAATTAGGGAGAAGCGTAATAGAGGAGAGGAGACTCCTGTGGGTAATAGCCCTCCGGTGGTGACTCCAGCTAAGCGTGCTAATAAGCGCACAATGGTCCGGTCTCTGCGCTTCTCCGAACGGCTGCAGCTACCTCGCACACGCATCGCCAAGAAAGGGGCTCGTGTATTAGCCAACAAAGCGCAAACAGCTATCAAGCGGTCTGCTCACGATATGGCGATGGAATGAATGGCTTACCTGGACCGTACTCGGCGGAAACTTGCGCACTGCAATTGCGATCAGCTACGGGTTTCTGCGGAGAAGAAGGGATTGGCTTTACAACGAAAGTTCAGGCAATTTTCGATATTGCCGACGCAAGAGCACGGATTCGATGTGACGAAGGTAAGCACGAAATCGGTGAAGAAGTGGCTGGTGATGATAATGGTAAGTCAAGTCAGGAGAATACGGATGACGATCCGACTAACTGAACAGGGCGAACAATTGAGTTTTGGGGAACGATTTGTGATGTGATAATCGGCTATCGACGCTGTTTTGGCTGTACCTATCCTGATGTTGAGTTGGTTTTTCGCCTGTTGGTTGTCTATCTGGCTTTGCATGGTCAGATTCGGTGGCTTGGAAAGTGTGTTCACTCCTGGTTGGGGTTATTTAAACGTTACGGTATCGACTTTCTGAGTAATCGAGGTTGCGTTTATATAGTCACCTCAGTGTTGTGTAAATCGCAATATATAGGACAGACTTCTAGAGAACCACATACCACATACTAGATGGACCGAACATGTTTCTGTTTGGAAGAGAGAGCTAAACGGTCTATACTGCCGGCCGCGTTGTAATCTCCAAGAAGAGAAACAATCGAAAAGGGAAAAGGGAGCGCGAACGGCTTGATGTGGGATCATGCCGTCAGGAATCGTATGTTGTATGTCCTATTCGGGTCAGAACGGCCGATGCCGTTGAACCGACAGTACAAGTGTTTGAATGCTTGCGTCAACTTGACGAAATAGGGAGTAGGGAATTCAATCTTGTTGTGGATTCTGGTAATCTCTGGTTGGATCGATGGAGGAAGTCGCGAAAAGCCTTTGGTACTTCGTCTGTTCGTAAATGGCAGGTTGAGTCGATTTAAGGATTTTCGAGCGGAATATGAGCGAGGGTGTGTTGTTCAGTTCATTTATTTGCGGAGATGGAAACCACGTGTCGGAACTAATAAACCCTTCTTTCACCTCAATTTATAAGAAAACCATAAGGCCATCCCAAGCAAACTTCACACCAATCTATAGAGTGCACTTCTTACTAACATATTATAAAAAAAATACCAAAAATAAATAAATAAAAACACATAAAACAGCAACTTAAAAGTGCATTTTCAGGCAATTTTGCCAAAAAACAACTCCATCAAAATTTCAGGATTTTCAGGATGATTAACAACACAAATTCTAATAACCCAAATGACACCAAATTTGACACACAGCAAGCTTGTCCTAAAACAAAAACAGGCAAAAAAATAATTCCAAAAAAACACAAAATTTGACCCCGAAACCCTAATTTCAGGATCATTCATCGTTACCCAGGGCCGAAAAGTGGGGGTCCCCGATAACCACTTGTGTCTTTTTCTAAACCCACATCAAGAACAAGTAAAGCAGTGGCAAAAGGGTTGAATCACTTGTTGAATTCCATCGCAGCAGATTGGCATTTCAATTTGAAAGCCGTATCACTGTTGACGCAATCACTGGAAAGTGTAACAAGCAGATGGGTAGGATTGGTGTTGTTGATGTGAAATTTCGGTCTTATGATATTAAAGATATGTTCAGTTTGCTTCCACATGCCGACATAATCCGAGCCACGGAATGGATACTGCATTACCATGCCTCGAAGAAGAGGACTTTCGTGAGAGTCAACACACGGGGCCGAGGTGCCTCCGTTGGGTCAAGTACATGTTTATAATCACTGGAGAAGGCTGGAATTCGAGGATATTCGACGGTTTGTCGAGTTTGAGTTGTCTCACACATTCACCTTTGCTCTTTCTGTACTGATCAAACAGGAGGTGGGCATACCGATGGGAAAAAGTACCAGCCCGCCCCTGGCTTGTATTATGTGTGCCAGGGCTGAATTCGATTTTCTAAATAGTTTAGGACGGGCAAGGGCCTATGTATTTGGTATTCGTTCGATTGATGACGTAGGTTTGATTGTTGGTAGTAAGGGAGACTGTGATGTCGCGAGCAATATTTTTCACAATTTTGAGTCTTGCTACCCAAGGAACTTAACACTTAAACGAACTGATGTTGGTACCAACTCATGGGACTTTCTGGGTTGCAAGGTGAGAATACACAGCGAGGTTTCCTTCGTGGAGAGTGTTCAGTTATCTAAGAATGAGGCAACGATTTGGACATCTGATAAACTCGAATTTTTGAATGGCCAGACCTTTGACTCACGGGGGAGTAAGGCACAAAAAAGTGTTGTGGTGGCAAGTTATCTGTGCAAGATCGATAGGAATACCTTTGTGCGAGCAGAAATACCAAGGAGAGTGATTACTCTAAGGAAAGAACTGCGCTTGAAGCTATTTCCGAAGAAATTCTTCAATCGGGTGCTGAAAAGCTTCGTTCATGGCCGGGATGAGCCGTGGCAATGGACTTGTTCCTTGCTTACTTCGGTTCGGCAGCAGTGGTTTCTTTGATGAAGGTTGCCGACAGAGGGTCTGATGGATTGAAAGGGTTGTATTCAAATTGGGTACATTGTGTCTGAGTGATGTGATACAGTTGTTATTTGTCGCTTGTCTGGGTCTCCTTGAGCCCGAGACCTATTTGTGTGGGTTTGATTTTGGCTCTTAGTAAATAGTGGTTCGGGCCTACTGCTCCGAAGGAAAGTGGTCTGTTCCAGTTTTCGTGCCCTTGGGCCCTGGGATGATGGGTTGACAGGGTTGTGTTTGAATTAGGTAGAGCATGTTTGAGGGAGTGTGCGGCTGTTGTCTGTCGTTTGTTCGGGTCTCCTAGAGCCCGGAACCTATTGGTGTGGTTTTGATTTTGGCTCTGGAGTAGATAGTGGTTCGGGACTACCGCTCCGAAGAAAAGTTGTCTGTTCCAGGTGCCGTGCCCGCAGGCCTAGGGACGATATTTCTTTGCTTGGTCCCCTCGAGCCCGGTGTCGCACTTTTTCTTAGTCGGGCCTCTACAGGCAACCAAGAAAGCCAACAGGCTGTCACGCTGGGTTTGGTTGTTGATTGCAATAAATAAATAAATTAAATAATGCAAATCCCTTCCTGTTGTGTGCGTCCGGCTTCAAGCGAGACTCTTCAATTGCGGTCTTCTCCGGTCCCCGGTCTTAGGAATCTTTTATTTTGATTCGGAACAGCAGAGAATCATGCAAATAATAATCATAAAAATTATGGGGTGCTATGCATGCATCAATTGTGTCAATCTGATTTTGAGAACTGGGACAAGATCATCAAAGAATGCAAACATCAAGCATGGCAATGCAAAGAAGCAAGACTGACTGACTCGAGCAAGGACAAGGGCAAATGAACGAGGGAAGAATGAGAACTCGTAATAGTCTCAGGGAGTACATATGGAAGAGAGCATGGCCAGCACCAATCAAGAGTCCTCACTCAACCCTCAGAACTTCACTCTGCATCTGTCACTTTGTTGCCTGTCCTCTGGGCCTCTTGCCAAGTCTTCGTACTCTCTGAGGTTGTGGCTTCTGAATGTAAAGCCACATGAAGCTCACTAGTTCCAGACACTTCCTGCCAAGTCCCATAATACGGAAGTCAAGCATGGCACAAAATTCTTCCCATAGTGTGGGGAGATAGGGCCGGGAGAAAATGTCTCTCCTGAGATGCGGAAACTCAGAGGGCTCGGTCACTGCCTCATAGTCGATTACTGCCGGCGACGTGTACCTCTTGGCCAAGTCTACCAATCCGCCCCAATAAGAGCCGTCAGTGAGGTAGTAAGGGACCGAAGGCTTGGGATAGTCTGTGAACAGCTTAAGACCACAACTATAGACTAGCTTCGTTTTCCCCTAGAGTCTCCCAGTTGCTGCTGCCCACACCACGTCAAAATGAGGATGTGTCTCGTTCCTTTTTTTCAGGAAGATCCATAGGTCACTAACCGTACCCTTAGCGAACTCGGTGAAAGCGATGAAGATGGACATGTCCTCTCGCTTGAACCCATCAACCCTGACATACCTGTAGGGAAAACTCTCCTTGGCTGATATCAGATTAAGGTTGTCGAGGACCGACTGGTCAACCGAGATTGGACTGATTTCTCTCATATGTTTGGGTAAATTGTTACTCTCAGCCTAAAGAGAAAGAGAATGGCTTGACTAGCTAGCGTCCGTGGTTTGGATGCCTCTTTTAAATACTGTCTTGAAAAGGTGCTCCGAGTATTGTTCCGAATGCTGATTAAGTGCTGATCCGAGAACTGATTTGACTGATAATCAGAAATACTGAATATTGCGGGTTACTTACTGACTGAGAAAACTGAGGGTCACCGAGTTCATAAATTGAGAAAACGATGTCGCTGAGTTCACTGACTAAATAACAGTTGAATGTAGTCTGTTATAGGTCGGATCAATGACAATCCACCATGTAGGCGTCAACCGCTACAGGGCTAATTCCTGAGCCTGTCCGGACGCTGACTGAGTGTCAATCAAAAGTTTGTTAACTACTGTTTAGCTTCTGATTGAGAACTGAATATTACTGATTGGCTGCTGGTGGAAAACAGAGTGTTTGCTGATTTACTGCTGATGAAAAACTGAATGTTGTTGATTGACTAATGATGGAAAACTAAATGTTGCTGATTGACTGATGATGGAAAACTGAATGTTGCAGATTGATTGATGATGAAAAACTGAATGTTGCTGATTCATTGCTGACTATCTCTTGTTTGCTAACTGTTTCATTTGCTGCTTGTGACTTAATGACGTACTCTGTGTCCGGTTGCAACCTGTTTTATGAACCTGGTTCGTTCCTTTTAGTCTATCCCTGTCTGATGAGAATCCCTCTCTTACCGAATTGATGGCTAAACTTTCTCACTGATTTCCGGCAACCATCCTCTTTGCCTCCTCAATGGATTCTACTGATGAGATAGTGCTATGTAATTTCCTGTCAGACCCATAAATGTAGCAAGTATACTCCACGATTGTCCGATCTCTCACTAACATCAGAGCTCGTTCCCTTATAGGTCTCATCTGGCGATGAAAACTCTCAATCACTCTCTCTTCCCAGCCTTCGGTCATGCCCCTATGCAGTGAGTAGGTTACTCTTACTGTATCTCTTTTCTCCATTTTTTTTTTC